CACACCACCGAATTACTGTGTTTAAGTTAATGGGGTAGTATGGCCGCACACCACCAAATTAATGTGGTTAAAAACCGAATTAAGGTGCTTAGTGTGGCCGCGCACAATCGAATTTATACAACCTGTTTCCCAAATTCGAATTATCTAAATTCGGATTAATCCTGTAGTGTAGACATACCCTAATAAAGTTTAGTTTAGTTAATAAGAATTGGCTGTAAGCGTGTATTCGGATAAGATCTGAAACATTCATTAACCTGGTGGATAATGTGTCCGATCCTTTGGGATTGGTAGAATTTTCTTTTTGATGAATAAGATCTGCAGTGATCCTCATCATATTTGATTTGGGGGCCTGGGTGGAGGCCTAAGGCTGGGATGCTATTAGGGAACAGTGTTACTGGCTTCTGGGTAACCAGTGAGGTATTATAGAAGCTGTTTTGTGCTGGCTTGGTAAATCTAAGTATTGGAATAACCACCAGTTTGGGGTGTTGCTTGCCCCATTCTTTGCAGTTTGTGGCTAATTGCATAACCTCACTTGGCTCCCATGAGACCCCAGTCACACTGACTGAGAGTGTGAGTAGACTCCAGTATGTACCTGCTCCTGGCCATATACTCCAAGGGGGCCCATTACTTGTTCAGTGCTTCTGAAAACCTCCTCACATCCCCAATTGGGAGATGCTGGGCTCTGAGCTTCCATGGGATTGAGCCTCAGCACTTGACAAGATGGGCTGGAGATTTCAAAGGGGCATCAGGGAGTTAGGGGCACAAGTCCCATTGAAAGCCAATGAGATTTCAACACCTCACTCCTGCAGGTGGCTTTGAACGTCCCAGTCTGGCTGTGTGAGATAGCAGTGACCACTTCTAAAGGCCATGGATTAAATTAAACACCCAAGAAGGCTGAATGTCACTACACTCCATTGATGCCAGCAACTAGAGGACACGGAGTGAAAGTAACATGCAAACACGGCGGAGTTCAAGGCACCAACAGAGCTGACATACTACAGCAAGGGGTAACAGTGTGAGGGGAGGGGGGGGGGGGGAGGGAGATTTGCATATATGTATCGAGAGAGGGAGAGATGGATAGCAGGATGGATAGTTAGAAGGGGTGGATGGGCATGGAGGACGTAGGAGAAAGAGAGATCTTGCTATAAGGGGCCTGGTGTAAAGGCTAAGGCCTGAACTAAAGTCAGGCCCTGCTGAGAGAAAGTAAAGTTAGCAAGAGTCGGGCTATGAGCAAAAGTGAAGCCCTGTTACAAAGCAGATGCCTGCTTGAACGTTCACTATCTGATACATGAACTTGCCAAGAACTGCGCTGGTGTTGCAAAAACAGAAGCAGTCCTAGGCACTGAATGTTCATGTAAACACATTCCAGAAGGATTGTGCCAGAACATCCTAATACAAAGTAAACACACTCCCTGACGGTGATAGAGGGACACACTGACCCCTCCTAAAGATAAGGTCAGAATAACAGGGTGATGGATAGAGATGTTTTGAGCGAACCAACAGGGACACAGAAAAGGGGGGTAATTAAGTACGTCAGAGGGGCAATACATAAGTTAACTGTATGAGTGTATAAAACAGGGGTCACAGAGGGGATATCTTTGGCTGAGGGGGGAGTGGAAAGTCCCCCCCGCCACCGAGCCAAGCACACTGTCACGGGAGTACATGTGTTAGTGTACCTGTAGCACGTATAGGGCACTAATACTGTGCTTTGTCATCAATAAAGCTAGCTGAGCGCCTTTGCCACTGAACCAAGTCTGTGGTCTTCTTGGATAGTTCGAGCAAAGTCTGCTGTACGGGCTACCTGGCCAAAGCCAGTGCAGCACACACAGAGAAAACACACACGCAGCCAACAACTGACAACACTGCTGACCCCGACCGCTAATCTGGTAAGAAGGTGAGCTGCCCTCTGTAGGAATCATGAACTAACATGGGAAAAAACTACGAGCTAGGGAACCCCCTTATCCCTTCCCTGCAAATCCTCACAGAGTTTGATGAGATATGGACACACTGGGTTGCCAGGAAAGGACATCCATATGAATTAAAAAAAGACAGTGTGGAAGAAACATAGAATGGACTCTGTAAGGCTAGGGCAGAGACTATAGCCTTGGAAAATAATAAGTGTACTTCTGCCTGGAGGGAGATCTTACAGTAGACTCGACTGGTTGTTTGTTCATTTCTCTGGAATATTAGTAGCTCTCTGTCAAGCTTTCCTCTGCAATATCCAGCTGTCTCTCTTCTTATCTGCCACATCCCTCCATCAATCCTGTATCAACATCTATCCATCATCAATCCATCCATCCTTCAGCAATATCAATCCCTCCATACATCCTTCTTCAATATCCATCTATCTGTCTTCTTATCTACTATGTCCATCCATTCATCGTTCTCCAGTATCTATTCATGATCATCCATCCTTCTTCAATATCAATCTGTCTATCCTCTGGCAATATACATCAGTCTATCCATCTGTCCAGCCATCCTTCTGCAATATCCATCCATCATAAATCCATCCATCCATCTGTAACCCTTCTGCCCATCTGCGTTGGCAGCAACAAGGGCCGGGTTCAGTATCTACAGGTTCTGTTTCAATAATACAATGCAAAACCGTCTCAAGCCCCCACCCAGTGACCTGGGACAATTACATACCACCCCCTGGGTGCCTCTAAGAGGTAATACTTCCCCTCTCCGAAGCACAGAGTCTGAGTGTAGCAAAATCCTTTTAATAAAGGAGGGAAACAATGTGGCATTATGTTAAATAAAATTAAAATAAATAAATTAATGGAGATATCCTATCTCCTAGAACTGGAAGGGACCTTAAAAGGTCATTGAGTCCAGCCCCCTGCCTTCACTAGCAGGACCAAGTACTGACTTTTGCCCCAGATCCCTAAGTGGGCCCCTCAAGGATTGAACTCACAACCCTGGGTTTAACAGGCCAATGTTCAAACCACTGAGCTATCCCTCCCCCAAGGTTTGGGGAAATATCACAAACAGGATTTATAGCACAAACCACGAGCAAAAGACCCACCCCCAAGTAAGTTTGGCAGTATCCTTTTCCCCTCAGTCCAACAACCCGAAAAATCACCCCGAAGACCGAAAAGTCCAACACCCCAAAAGTCTATTGAGTCCAGCAACCCAAAAAGCACCCAAAAGTCCAACAACTTTATCCTCCCAGCCTGGGTGGCGGGGGGGAAGGAGTGCACAGGGTGTTAAGGGGCCCTTTACGTGGTCCAAGGCTGACTGCCTCGCCTCTCCGTGAGGTTCTGCTGCAACCTTCACCAAGAGCCGCTCCACTCCACCAGCCACTCCGCTCCTCCAGCCATCCCACAAACTGCTCCGCTCCACTCCACTTGCTGTCCCGTGAGCCACTCCAACCATCCCACAAACTGCTCCGCTCTGCCAGCCACTTAGCAATGTAGCTTCAGGCTCCCCCACTAGTTAGCACAGCATTCAGTGATCTCAGCTCTTAGTAATTTTAGCTCTTTAGTGATTTCAGTTTGTAGTAGGGGAGCCCCAGTGCTGGTGCACCATTGGCCCAAAGTGAATTCAGCACAGTAACCTATAAGGAGACTCTTAATGGAACCAAAATTAGCTCTGCCACAATTCACCACCAGATGTCAGGGTAGAGCTCATCCTCACTCTGCTTACACATCCATCCATCCATTCTTCTGTATTATCCATCCATCTATCCATCCTTCTATCTTCTCATCTGCCATGTCCATCCATCAATCATTCCACAGTCTCTATCCATCATCTGTCCATCCATCCTTCTGCAATATCCATAAGTCTTCTCATCTACCTTTTATATCCATCCATCCATCCATCTCTCCATCCATCCTTCCGAAATAGCCATCCATCTGTTGCCTTTTATTTTATTTAAAGTGAATTTTGTAGTGTGGTATTACAACACCGTGGGTTTGGCTCTAGTGGCTACACTTTCAAGCTCACGCAGTGAAAGTCACCTCTGCTACTTGCTTCAGATTTAGAGTCTCAATGAACATATAAGGACCGAGGGTCGTGACCACACGTACATTCACAAGGAAAAGATTTAGTCTATTTTAAAAGTTTTATTAAAGTTACAGTTAAAGTTATGATTACCCAAGCATATAGAAATCCTATAAAGACCTATGCACAAGCTTCAAATATAGATATACTCACATCCTTAAGGATATTCTTAAAGTGTGATGGCTGCCTGGCCAATTGATTGCCAAGAGAGGGATGGTTCCTGCTTGGGTTTCTAATAGGGAGCTCAATTTTCATAATCTGGGCAGTGGCTTGGGGGAAAGTGTGGAATGGGTGCGGGGAGGGTGCGGAGCAGGGGTGGGAAGAGGCAGGGTGGGGGTGGGGGCTTGCGGCAAGGGGTGGAGTGGGGGCGGGGGCTTGGGGGAAGGGGTGGGGTGGGGGTGAGACCTGGGCCAGAAGGGGTGGAGTTGTCTCGGGCCCCGCACCTCCTAGGGATGTCCCTGATACTGACTATACCTCATTAGCATTGACACATATTGTGCACCCTGCAGTTAGGGCGTGTGTTAGGAAAATGTGACTACCGGTACCTTGTAAGAAAAAATTACTCTTGCTCTTAATTTTTCACAATATCACCCGTGGGTACATTCTTCCCCATAATCTTGTGGGATAGGGTCATTCTTTTGTCGCTTAGTCATGCCAAGTGTTTCTTAAGGCTATGGCCTAGTATGGCTAAGCTAAAATTTTACAGGCTGTAGACCTTGCGTTTGAGCCCTCCTTACTTAGACACCTAATACCTAATTATACCTTCTCACTACTGATCAATCTTATACTTCTATAGTCCTACAACTTTCCTCTATTCAGCATACAGAGATTATATATGACATAACATGTTAGTTAATAATAACATCACACAATAAAAAAGTAACAAACTAAAATCATTGCCTACACATCCATCCATCCATCTGCAATAGCCAGCCAGCCGTGCCTCTGCAATACCCATCTACATCTCCAGTCAGGCTGGAGGAGATGGATGCTCCTTTCTAAGGCTTCAGGTTTTGCAGAGTTTTCTTGATCCAGAACACATATTTGGAGAGCCTGGTAAACACACTGGGAGTTGACCCGTCACCGCTGCCATGGGAGACAATGCCCTGGGCCTTCCCATCACAGACCAGGGGACCCCCAGAGTCGCCCTGAGAAGCAAACATCAGGCGCAGGCTTACTCATGTCCAAGCAAAGGGCGGGCTGCATTCTGTATTCACAGTCCTGAAATCCAGCTCCTTACCCTGCTTCCTGGGGACTCACGGTCAAATCACTCCAGGGACGTGCCCGGGGCTCCCACTCCATGGTCCAGGGACCCAGCGGACCCCTGTGCCTGATTTCCTGGATTTGCCCAGTTCCAGTGTCTGATTTCTAGCATCCATCCCCGATTTCTTTAACCTGCTCAATTCCCATCCCTGATTCTGAATCCTGATTTCCAGCATCTTGTTCACTCCTGCCCTTGATTTCTAGGATTTCCTGATGATTTCTCAGATCCATCCCTGGGTTTTTCTTTTATTAATTCCCATCATCTCTCTCCAAGGAGCCAGCTGATTCCCAAACCTGATTTCTAGGATCTGTCCCTCACTGTTAAGATCCATCCCTGATTTTCAGGATGTGTCTGTTTCTTGTTCTTGATTTCTAGAACATTTTGAACATCGAGCCGATTTCTCTCCCTGATTTCTAGGATCTAGCCAGTTCCTCTCCCAAATTATAAGGATCCCTTCCTAATTTGAAAGATCTGCCTGGTTCCTCTCCCTGATTTCTAGCCTCCATCCCTGATTCCTAGGATCTGGCCAGTTCTTGACTCTCCCCATTCTGCCCAGCCCTGTCAGTCTCCTGTTCTTGCAGCACCTTGCCCCGGGTGCCGCGTGCCCCTGCCCCACACTTACCAGGAATGGTGCCTTCGTCTCCTGGGGGCCCCCCACGCACAGCATCCTGGACGGGACATAGTGCAGATAGGGCCGAGACAGACACATGCTCTTGTCCATGACCATCAGTTCCACCTCCTGCAGGGTCGTGGAGGGCTTTTTGTTTGTTTTGATACTGGTCTGGCCCCAGCCAGCTACGCTCCACACTGCCCCCTTCTTCACCTTCTTCTGGGACAAGGACATGGTGCCCACAGTCTGGGTCAGCTTGGCCTTCTCCCTCAGCTGTGACAGGAGATAGAGAAGGGAAATCAAACTCCTTGGGGGGGCTGCATCCTGTCCTGGGGGAATGGGACCAGATGGGGAATCCCCATGACAACTGTGCTGGTGGGGGATGATGAGAGTAGGCGGCACCTGCAGCAGTGTGAGGTCACTGGGGGTGGGGTGATGGGATGGGGGTGGTACCTACAGCAGTGTTAGGTCATAGGGGTGGGGTGATGGAATGTGGGCGGTGCCTGCAGCAGTGTGAGGTCACTGGGGGTGGGGTGATAGGATGGGGGTGTTACCTGCAGCAGCATGAGGTCATTTTCAAGCGAGGCATCATTAAGTTCTGGTTGGGGGATTTGACGATATACCAAGATCTTCTGCATCCCCGGTTCATCTATTTCAGTGTTGTGGGCCCCCAGCAGCATGCTGATTTTGCTGTGAAATACAAGGGGATGCAGGTGCTGCAGATAGGCCAATACGCTGCATTTAGTCGTGGGTCGTTAATTTCGTTAAAGTGGTTATATGTAGACGATGCCTTGCATTCAGTTTGCATGTTCAGAAGCCAGAGCTCCAGGGCCTTTCCACTGCAGGGAAGGGGGCAGCTTTACTTGGCCCCAGGTTAGGAGAATGGCTGTCTCAGGGGCAGGAGAGCCTGCATGTCTTATCCCAGGTTGCAGTTACAATGAGCCACCAGCACCACCACGTCCTCCCAGATGAGGAACCCTCCGCACCTGATTTCTCCTTTTCCTTCTATCTCTATTTTCACAAAGGCCATGTAGGGTCTGGAGTGAGGCCGGGCTTCCCATCCCTCGATGATCTCCCCTGGCAGAGATGCCAAGAGATGGAGTTAGTTCAGGTACCTCTGAAGGTGATCACTCCCTGAAGGTGATAGAGGTACACACCAACCCCTCCTAAAGGTAAGGTCAAGATGACAGGGAGATGGCTAAAGATGTTTTGATCGAACCAACGGGTACACGGTAAAGGATGGTAACTAACCACGTCAAAGGGGCAACATGTAACTTGTTTGTATCAGTGTATAAAAGGGGGGGTCACAGAAGGGGTGTCCTTGTCTGGCTGAGGGGGGAGCAGAAATTCCCAACCCTCACTGAGCTGAGTCCATTGTCATGGGCATACATGTGCTAATGTACCTATAGCCAGGGCCATCCTTACCCATACGCAAACTATGCAGCTGTGTAGGGCACCAGGAAATTGTGGGTACCAAATTGCCCCAAATTTCCTGATGCCCTACGCAGCTGTGTGCTTCTCCAGCACCCAGCCCAATTCCCCGGCCGGCTGTACTGGCCAGGAAAGCTGCCCCTGCCCCTACTCCGCCTCTGCCCTGCCTCTTCTCCAAAGGCCCCGCCCCTGCTCTGCCCCGCCTCTTCCCACCTATGCTCCACCCCAGCCCCGTCCCCACTCCACACCTTCCCCTGAGCTAAATCCCAGGGGAATGCAGCAGGGTGGGCGTACCCTGCACTCACCAGGTGGCGGGAAGTGGAACGACCCGGCCCAAGCCTGCTGCACTCCGCCGGCTCCCAGCTGCACCACCAGTGACTGCTGGGGGTCGGTGCCTCTCTGCCCCCAAGTCCCAAGGCTGGGAGCCAAGTGGAGCAGAGCAGACCAGGCTGGGTCTCTGTCTCTCCACTTCCCGCTGCCCTGTGAGTGCGGGGTCGGGCCCGCCCTATGATCACCGGGCGGCAGGAAGTGGAGTGACCTGGTCCCAACCCGCTCCACTCTGCCGGCTTGTGCTGGGGGGGTGGTTTCCCCCCTGCCCCACAAGCCAGCTTCTGCCTCCCACAGACCTTGGAGGCCTGTGGACGCCCCCCACACTGAGGCCTGGGGTCAGCCCTCCCTCCATGTGGGGGCTGTACAGGGCACCACAATGTCTAGGGACGGCCCTGCATGTAGCATGTATACAGCACTAATACCATGCTTTGCTGGCAATAAACCTGGCCAAGCGCCTTTGCCAATAAACCAAGGCTGTAGTCTTCTTGGACAGTTAGATTGAAGTCTGTTGTACAGGCTGCCTGGTCAGAGCCAGTAAAGCACACTGAGAAAACACACACGCAGCCAACATCTGACAACATTGGTGACCCTGACCACTAATCTGGTAAGTAGGTGAGTTGTCTTCTGTTGGAATCGGGATCTAACATGGCAGAAAGCTATGAGCTAGGGAAGGCTCTTATCCCCTCCCTGCAAATCCCTGTGGAGTTTGATGAGATATAGATGCACTGGGTTGCCAGCAAACTGTTAGAGAAGAAGGAGCAGGTTGACCCAGAGGCGGATTTGAGTACGGGCTTCTTTAGTGCGATACTTATTCCCCTCAACCCAATTGTCGAGTAAGCACTGGATTAGTTACAGCACCCTCTTTTTGTCTAAACATCTGTTACAACCCCCCAAAACCCTTATTAAGTAATAGAAACACCCTTACTATTCGTATTCCCACCCCTATCTATTGTTCACAGCATTATGCATGTTATACAGGCATTTTTACCTTGAAAATACATTTCTTTGCAGTAATTTGTTGCTACAAATTCCCTTAATCAGTGGTTCTCAGGGGAGGCAGGAAGAGGCCATGACCCAGGGCTCGCTTGTGTAGCTGGGAAAGGAAGGGAGGGGGAGATAACACTTCTTTTACAGAAAGGGTATTCTGTAGACAACTACATTTTTCATGCAGCTGCAGGCTTATCAATTCTTACAAGCAACAGGGAAGGGAAAAGTATGGCAACTTATTTATCAAACAAAGAAATACTGCCTGCTTATGTCTTTATCCCCTAATGCCAGGTCAGCACATCAGCAGCTTCCCAGGTCTTTACTTAACCCTAACATATCCCAACATGAAGGAAGTCCATATGAATTTTAAAAAGAACACGGAGAAGAAACATAGAATGGAATCTGTAAGGCTAGGGCAGAGACAGAAGTCTGGGAAAATAAAAGAGTAATTTCTGACTGGAGGGAAATCTCATGGCAGGCTCAACTGATCCCTCCCTCCCTCCCTCCATCCTGCTTCAACATCTGTCCATCACCCATCCATCCCTCCTTCTGCAATATTTATCAATCATCCGTCCTTCTGTAATATCCATCTGTCTGCCTTCTCATCTGCCATCCATCCATTGTTCCACAGTATCTATCCATCATCTGTCCACCCATCCTTCTGCCATACTCAGAAGTCTTCTCATCTACCATTTTTATCTATCCATCCCCAATATCCATCCATCTAGCTCTCCATCCACTCTTCTGCAATAGCCATCCATCTGTAGCCTTTTTATTTTATTTAAAGTGAATTTTGTACTATGTACATGGGTTTGGCTCTGTTGGCTAAAGTTTCAAGCTCACAGAGTGAAAGTCACCTCTGCTACTTGCTTCAGATTTAGAGTTTTTAGGAACACATAAAGACCAAAGGTAGTGACCACATACACATTTCACAAGGACAAGGCCTAGTCTGTTTTTCAAGTTTTATTAAAGTTACTGTTAAAGTTATGATTACCCAAGGATGTAGAAATTCTATAGAGACCTAGACACACATTACATATATAGTTACACTCAGATTTTTAATGATATTCTTAAGGTCTGATGGCTGCCTGGCCAAAATGGTCATCAGTAGAGGGATGGTTCCTGCTGGGTTTCCAATAGGGAGCTCAATTTTCCTCATTTGAGCACCCTCTACTTATAATGTGATTCCAACTATTCCTCATTAGGGCCTTCCCATCACAGACCAGGGGGCCTGTGGAGTTGCCCTGAGAAGTAAAATCAGCAGGTGAGGAGTTACTGATGTCCAAGCAAAGCACGGGCTGTATTTTGTATTCATAGTCCTGAAATCCAGCTCTGTACCCTGCTTCCTGGGGACTCACAGTTAAGTCACTCCTGGGATATGGCTGGAGCTCCAACCCCACAGTCCAGGGACCCAGCTGGCATCTGTAACTGATTTCTAGGATCTGGGCAGTTCCGGTGTCTGATTTCTAGCATCCATCCCTGATATCTTTAACCTGCTCAGTTCCCATCCCTGATTCCAAATCCTGATTTCCAGCATCTGGCTGACTCCTGCTCTTGATTTCTAGGATCTCATGCTAATTTCTCAGATCCATCCCTGGGTTCTTGGTTCAGGAATTCCCATCATCTGACTCTTAGGATTCAGCTGATTCCCAACCCTCATTTCTAGGATCTGTACCTCACTATTAAGATCCATCCCTGATTTCCAGGTTGTGAAAGTTACTAGTGTGGGGACATAGAGGGGGGGGGCCTTCTTTTTGATAGCCAGAGCTTTGAATCTGTGAGCCCCGAAATAAACCCTCCAACAGAGATCTGTTATGCTGATGGCCTTTACACAGAGTAGAGCAGGCCTAAAGCCTGAACAACACGATTCTCTGCCAAACTCGGTCAAAGGTAATGACCAGAGGAGGGGAAAGGAAGGAAGGAAAGAAACACAGAATAATGCTAAAAGCTGCAGCAAGAAACTGCTTTAGCAATATAATAACTGCAAGTTTATGAAATCGCTCGAAAAATAGAATATCCGCTTACATTAAGAAATTGTTTTTGCAAAGAGTTAATCATCCTTGCTGCTACAGCTATTTGCAACATTTTCCAATTCCAGCTATCTGCAAAAATAGCCAATCATAGATCCTCTTTAGGCGTTCCATGGAACCCCCCCCCTTAATCTTTAACCAAAGGACCCCGGAAAATAACGTGTCTTGAGAAATGTACCCAAACTGGTGCCAAGTACCACCCCTGGGGAAAACCACTTCTCGGAAAATTAATAAGGAAGGTACGGGGGGGGGGGGGCTGACCCCAACCCCAGTTTCTTAAGTCATGACCAACTCATGACTAACCCCAACCCCAGTTTCTCAACCCATGACTAACCCCAACCCCAGTTTCTTAACTCATGACGTATTGTTTGTACTTTGCTTGCGGTTTGACGAAATAAAAGCCCGCCTGCGTGCGGTCCTCGGGGTGTCAGTCTCCGGACTGTACCCCAGTGCATTGGTATGTATGTCAATAAACTGGCCTCAGGTTTGAGTCTTTGAACTAAAATGACTGCGTGGGGGTCTTTGACCACAACACTAGCGACCCCCCTTAACAGCTAGCAGCCTTTATGTCAACCAGTGGCCATTAGGGGGAAGCAGATACCTCACTACACAGTAGCCTGAACTTTTGAACTGTCTTCTCTCCTCTGCCTTGAGGCAGAGGGAACTAGCTCCAAGCCAGTTTTCACTGACCAGATAGCAAAAGCACGGGTCTGACAACCACCAATCAAGTGTTAACACGGCAAGGGCCTTTGTCTGAATGTGTATAAAGGATCTGTAAAATGTGGGTACGACAGAGTCTTTGTACCAAGGTGCAAAGCTCTCCTTTCTTCTGCAGAATAAAGCAACTCTTCCTTATCCCTGTCTGGCTGTTATTGGCTCTCAGCTAGGTGGATCCGACATTTCGGTGACAAGGTTGTGATCCTTGTCCTTAACCTCTGAGCCTCTGCACACCCTGGGGACTGAGCAGATATGGGCCCCTGCACTCCTGGAGGTCTGTGAACATGTGGGGCCCTGCAACCCCTTGGGGCTGTGCACATGTGGCTTCCTGCACCACCGAGGCTTTGCACATCTGGGGCCCCTTGGCCCTAGGGATATTCACATCTGGGGCCCTGCACCCTTGGAGGCTGTACACTTGTCTGGACCGGAACCCCCTGGGGTTATGCTCTTCTCGGTCCCTGCACCCCTGGGCCTGTGCATATCTGGGGTGCTGTAGTCCAGGGGACATGCATATCTTGGGCCCTGATCCCCAGGCGACTGTGCATATTGGGGCCACTATGCCCCCCTCACCAGCCTGACCCCTGGGGAGTAGGTGTATGAGCAGCATTGTCATGGCCCATCTGGGGAAGGGGCATCTGCCTGGGCAGTGAGTTACAGGTCCAGCTGGGCAGCAGTGATGCAAGGCAGGAATCCTCAGGTCATGTGCACAGGGGTGTGGGTGGGGGACCTGCTGTCTCAGCACTTGGACCTCTCACCACATCAGCTGGAGGTGGGGGGAGGGTGGAAAAGCTGAGTCACCATGTGGGGCCCCTCATCCCCTGAGTGCATTGGGGGGGGGGGGGAGGGCATGGGCATTGTAGGGCTGTTCTCACCCTGCTCAGTGCTCTGCAGCCCTGCTGCCTGGGGGGAAGTGGTCAGACACTAAGAGGAAGGGCCCAATTTGAGGCCTGTGATGTGGTTAACTTGGCGTCACCTCAGTGTCTCTCTGCAACAGGAAGTAAGGAAGTCTCCTGTGTGTGGCTGAGGCCTTCACCACTGGCGGACTCACAGACTCACTTGTCGGCCGTTTTGCAAAGCAACGCTGTCCCCACTCTCCCTTCACGTCCAGGTGAAGGCGCTGGAGGAAGGTTCCTATACGGACAGGTGCCCTCCACAGCTGGGCATGCGGCACATCTGGACACTGGCTCAGTCTGCAGCCGTGCACATCTGGGGCAGAGCTGAGACCTGATGCAGCTTGCAGTGACCCCTCCTGGTCCATGCATGCACCTGGTGAGCATGTGGCTAAAGCTGAGACATCTGCTGACATGGCTCCGCTGGCCTCTTCCTCCAGGTGCCTGTGTCGGAGTAGAGATGGGAGTGGCGGTGACACCTCAGTGTGATGCTTCCAGCCGCCAGGTGAGGCCTTGGCCATCTCTGTGCCTGCATACACCACCACACAGGCGGGGGTGGGGGAGATCAGGCCCAGCTGGGTCAGAGTCGCCACAGCTGAGCCCTCAGAGCCCTGCCCAGCTGGCAGCTTCCCATTCTGGGGGCAGGAAGGGTTGGGGACGCACTTAGTGGGGAGCCCCCTGTGCCCCTGACACCTGTGAACTGCTGGGTACCACACACATCTGGAGTGACTCTGGGGGAGATGGCTCAGCAGCAAACAACAGTCGTAGCTCTCGCCCCAGGTTGGTGCTATTATGGTGGGAGTTATGGTTTGACCAACAGTCAGCTCAGCTTCTGCTGGAAACCCGGCCCCTTGATCCTTCTCAACTACCACCTTCCCACAGTGTGGGTGTGAGCCGCAGGGAGGGATGTGGGGTCAGGGAGACCAGATCCCCCATCTGTGACAGCACTGCTTACCACAGACACCCGGATTGGGGACCGGGGCAGAAACAATGAACCTGATTCTCAACCTCCCTGAGCCAGCCAGTCTTGGATGAGAATCAGCACCTCCTAGAGGGGAAAGGCCCCATATCCCATTCCCCACACCCCTGAGCCAGCCAGGGCCTGACCATGGGGCTAGATGGGAGCTGATGCCCCCAGAGGGGAAAGGGTCCCTGGCTCATTGTCCAGCCCCTGGAGCCAGCCAGCCTCCATCCTGGGGCTTTATTGGAGCTGAGATCCCCTAGAGGGGAAAGACCCATATCCATTTCCCTCCCACCCTCACATGAAGGGTAGCTGTGTAGCGAGAGGCTGGATCCCATGAGAAGCTTTTTCCATTGCTTTGGTTGAGGGGTTGAATGGATGTCAGTGGGTACCTGCTTGTGGCAATATGTCCTAGGGGGCTCATTGCATGTTTAGATAGGAGACGTGGATGTTGGAGTCGAAGCAAGATCCTGAGACATGTGTGCTGCTATAATGGTCCTATTGTAAGCAGACCCCTTTCCCCAAGCCCCCTCCCCCAAGCGACACAGCTGGGGCAAGTGGAGCGGGTTGGGGCTGGGTCGTTCCGCTTCCTGCTGCTGGCACCAGGCCCCCCGCTAATTCCCCATGACAACTGTGCAACACTGTGATGCCAGGTGCTCACCGGGATGCGGGGGGATGGGATAGGGGCAGTATTTGCAGTAGTGTGAGGTCACAGGGGCAGGGTGATGGGATGGGGGGTGGTACCTGCAGCAGTGTGAGGTCACTGGGGGCGAGGTGATGGGACAGGGGGTGGTACCTGCAGCAGCATGATGTCATTTTCAAATGTCTTGTCATTGTATTCTGGGTGGGGGATTCGGTGACGTATCCAGATCTTCTGTGTCCCCGGTTCATTCTCATTTTCAATGTTGTGGGCCCCCAGTAGCACGCTGATGATGCTGTGAAATACAAGGGGATGCAAGTGCTGTAGACAGGCCCATACTGTGGATACAGTCACGGGTCATTAGCCTCATTAAAGTTGCTGGGTCTAACAGTTGCATTTCTCTCAGGACTAATGTACAGAAGCCATTACAAGTTTGTTTATGTAACCAGGAAGCTGAATCAGTAGAATCAACACCGATCACACAGGCCTGACCTACACTTAAAAGTTAGCTATATTGGCCAGGGTGGAAAAATCCTACATCTCTACCCGACCTAGCAGTGCTGGCAAACCCCATAATGTCGAGGTAGCTCTCTCTATGGAAGAGGGTCTCTGTCGACATAGCTAACGTCGTTTGGGGAGGTGGTGTTCCTACAGCAGCAGAAAAACACCTTCCATCACAGTGCACTGCATCTGCACTGGGGGGGCTGAGCTGACACAGGCTGTGTCATGTAAGAGTAGAAGCTGAGATGATTGACCCAAGGGGTTTCCCTGGGGACCGACCTGGCAAACGCAGGGGCTGGGGCATTGACTGGTGGAGCTGTGGGTGTCTGAGAGAAGCAGCAGAAAGACTGGAGAAGCTGCCAGAGAAGGCACCAGCCACAGCCAAAGAAGCATGGGTAGCGTGACCCTGCGCTAAGCCTGGGGAGAAGCTTTTGGGCAGAGTGCTGGCTGAAGGATGCTTGGAACTGGGAGTAAAGAAACAGTCACTTGTTTTTTCATTCCAACTGTGTTCAGAGAAACAGGACTTTGGACATGCTTTGTAAATAAACAGGGAATAATAGACCTAATACCACCATCCATTTCTCCTCCTAAGGAAACATCCTGCAATACCCCACTCGCTGCTGAGGCCAAGGGGGGTAACCATTACTTGAGCAGCACATCAGGGTATGTGTTGCCAACACCTTCTGTACCCAGCACAATATTAGTGGCCCAAAATGACAAGAGGCAAGCCCCAGGACAGGGGCTGGCTGGCTCAGGGGGCAGGGAAGGGGACACGGCACCTTTCCCCTCTAGGGGAACTGGCTCTGATCCGACCGCAGGACAGGGACTGGCTGGTTAAAGGACGGCAGATGGTATGTTTCTTACCCCAGGTTGCAGTCACAATGAGCCGCTGTCACCATCATGTCCTCTGGATCAGGAACCTTCTGCAGCCTCCTTCTCCATCTCCTCCTGTCTCTATCTTCACAAAGGACACGTAGGGTCTGGAGTGACGTTCAGCTTTCTGTCCCCCGATGATTGTCCCTGGCAGAGAGATGGAGAGGGGTAAAACTCACCTGCTTTGGGACAACATGAGGCTGGACATTTTAACCAAGGATCCCAGTCCTATCCCCACTATCATCCTCAGCCTCTGCGGCCCCAGATCGGCCCCTCAACCCAGCCAGTCCAATTTCCCTGCCCCCTCCTCCTGGATCGGCCCCTTGACCCAGATAACGTGGAGATCACTGACAATCCCCTCCCATCCCACTGAGTTCACTGGAGAATCCCACTGAGGCCAGTGGTTCTGGAGCTCTGTTGAAACCCTGCCCCACATGTCTCAGATCAGCTCTGCCCCCCGCCGTGCCATGGGATTTTTGGTTTTTCCAGACCCACCATGCCCTTGCAACACCCCACCCCTCCATAAATCAGGTGTAAGCACAATGCCTCTGGCAGGCCCCCCGGCAGCCTAGAACTTGGAGGAGCAGATCTATGCCAGGCCATGGAGGTGCCCAGCTCTGCCCAGCTACCAGAATGGCCCCTTGGAGCACAGACAGGTTAGGGCAGCCCCGAGGTCACTGTGCCCTGCACAGACAGCCAGAGGAGTGAGCTGTGTTCAGAGCACTGCTGTGCTGGCTACTGGCGCAGGAAGAGCCGGTCTCCACCCAGGGCTGGAAATCTGGGGGGGCTCCCAATGGTGGTGATGCAATGGCCTCCCGGCTCTGTGGTTGACCCCAGCCCTGCATCACAGTCCTTGAGCTAAAGGTGCGAGGCTGTTAGCCAGCAGTAATAGAAGGTTGTTACCGTGTGTGTGGCCTCCAGGGCATTTCACACCCACAATCGGTGGCTGATGTTCTTTGGTGGAAAGCTTCCCTAGCGCAGACTGGATCCCCACGGATTTGTGGAAACAGCTGCTCTGCCTCTGTTCCCCATCCTACTGGCCCGCAGATTCCTCGGCCATGGGGCACCCCACACGGGGGCAGGGGAGATGGTGAGGAGAAGCTGCCTCCTTTCACAGCCACCCATGATTCCTGTATTGGGGAAGCAGCCTCAGGCCCTTCCACTGAGCCATGTGCAGGCTCTGCTCGCTAAGGGGTCCCTCCCCCCATACTCACCAGCCCAAGCCCTGGGGGGCAGGAGAACGGCCATGGGAAGCAGGAGGAGCAGCAGCAGCATCTGCACCAGAGCAGGGAAGGAGAAAGTGTTTCACACACAGCCCCGGGCAGGGCCGGCTTTAGGCCAATTCCACCAATTCCCCCGAATCGGGCCCCGCGCCTAAGAGGGCCCCGCACCCAGTGGCAGGGCCGCCCAGAGTGGGGGGCAAGTGGCAGAGAATCCCTTCCCTGGCTGGAGACACCTTTTTTTTACTCACCCGGCGGCGCTCTGGGTTTTTGGCAGCACTTTGGCGGCGGGTCCTTCACTCGCTCCGGGTCTGAAGGACCCGCCGCCAAAGACTAGGAGCGCGGCCCAGTGAGTACAAGCCCCACGTATTTTTTTACGTGTTTTTTTTTAGTCATCCCTGTCGGGGCCCCGTCGAAACTGTTCGAATCGGGCCCCGCACTTCCTAAAGCCGGCCCTGGCCCCGGGGGTTTTATAGAAACGGCTGGAGGGAACAGGAAGCCTCAGCATCGAACTCTCTGCCGTGTGGCTCTCTGGAGACCTCCCCACATAGGCTGGGGGGAGGGTCAGGCCCTGCTGAGTCTGCACTGCTGGGCATCTTCTGGAGATGCTCAGAGCCTGGAGCCTGTCACAGCTGGGGCTGGCCTATGCCCCGTTGTGCCCAGCTGGGGCCCTGCAGCCTCTGTCTCCATGCACATCTGGTGTTGAGCTGGGGGACATGCGTTTGCTGCTAACACTAGAGAAACTAGAGTCTCTCCCCGCCTACTGTAGTGGGGGCTGTGGTTAAGCTGAACTCATCTCAGCTGGCCTTTTGATCCTTCTCACATCTCCCCCCCCCCCATGAGAGAGATGGGGGAGGGGCTGAGGACAGAGAGTCTAAATGCTGTACTTCAAGGTGTCAGTGTTAGAAGGGCCTTTCACACCTACCATGCTGAGGCCAGGAAAATACAACACACTGAGCCAGCCAGTTCTCTTCCCTCAGACCACATGGGAGCCAGTGTCCTCTAGAGGGGAAAGGCCCTATGTCCCATTCCTGGCCTTGGAATGGATGAATCTATCGAAGGAACGTGGCTTTCTTATTGCAGTGGGTTGGGGTGGAGGGACCCATGCACCTGATGGTAGCTCTGGGAATCTCTCTCGTGCCTCTGGCTCAGACACATCTGGCCTTGAGTCAGACAGGGATCAGCCACACGGCATCTCTGCGTACTGGGGAGCGCTGGCCAGCACTGCCCCTGTTACAAGACATTGACAGAGCCAGATGGAGGGGAGTATGGAGACACACAGATTGATACTGTCTGTATTTGCTCCACAGCCACTGGATTTGGGGGTGGGCGTAATTCCAGCCCTGCAGATGTTACATCCTCACACCCTGTAACCTGAGACCTCCCCTGCCCTGGTGGACCTAGCACCGCCCCAGACAACATGGGTCAGGCAGAAATTCAGTGCTGGAGAAGTTTGTATCAGATCTGAACTGATTCCGGAGAACACAGGATGGGAGTTGAAATGAACAAGCAGTGTGGTTGAGGGGCTGTGGGGCCACAGTGTGGGGGACTGCTGACTGAGCTCTTGTGAGCTGTGAAGCTGTGTTGTCAAGTAGCCAGAGCAAACGCTCTGCTGCCGCATGACCTTCGGCAAGTCCTGGCCCCTTTCTGTGCCTCAGTTTACCCATCTGGGGCTAATGATCCTGATCACCCTTTGAAAAGCACTTTGAGATCTCCTGGAGGGAAGAGCTAGGAGCCCAGATCCTCAAAGGTATTGATGCTCCCGGTGATTTCAATGGGAGTTAGGCACCCAAACACCTCTGAGGATCTGGGCCTCGATGTTTTTGTTTAGCACCAATTTTGTTTATGGCTCAACCCAGCACCTGCATCCTGCCCACCGCCCCATTATTCTCCCCCAACCCTGTATCATCCACACATGCAATGTCCAGTCTACAGGCCAGTGATGGAAAAGGCACCGCAAATTGTTCAGAGAAAACGTTTTTTATTCAGAAAAATGGCTTTTTTCCCTCCAAGTGTCATTTATTTTTCAAACAAGCGTCCGTTTTCAATATTTTCCAAATATTTGGAAATAGACAATTCTTTCTTTTGCCCCAATGTTTCTCAGCAATGCTTTCTGGGTTCCCTTCTTTTGGGTTTTTCCAACCTCCGGTCAGTATCACAGTAAGGAATAATAAATAATTAAATACTTGTGGGGTGAGGAGAGGAAAAAAGAAAAGAAAATACTGAAAACAAACAAAAGTTGGGTCCGGCTCAAAATGTGTGAAACTCATTTTCAAAATCATTGAAATTTCAATTTTTTTCACACAACCATTACAATGTGCTATTGTCATGGGCTGTTTAATTCAACAAGCCACGCTTCGTGGTCATAGGTTGGCCACCAAAGTCACATGGCCCCATTCCTGCTCTTCGGTTGAGTGAAAGAAAGTTTTTAAGCCAGCCAGAGACATGCTGCAGCTAGGAATTTTGATGGTGGAAAACCCGCGAGGAATGGATTAGATATACAAATGATCAGCCTTTGTAGAGGTCCTATAGAATTCAGCAGAGAAAATACTCCAGAATCCCCATAGGTGATGTAAACCCCTGTGCACAGGTGGGAATTCTAATGACTCAGGAGGAAAGGTTGTCACCGAATATTGTTCTGGGGTAATGGGGCATGTGGATTGGACAGACACAACATAAACAGAGAGACCTGGGAATAGAAGCGAGTGAGACACAATGTAAAAAGCCAGGCAGACATAACCTGGAAGCACAGGAATGTGGCCCTGAGAAAAAGCTAAGAGAAGAACCATTTTGGGCACAGAGACTTGGCTTCCGATGCCGGCTCTGCACAGTGAACAGAGGAGTTGTCTGCTGCTGTTTGATTCCGACTGTGTTCAGGGAAACAGAACTCTTCTCTGCCTAAACATGCCCAATTCTTTTAGCCTTTCCTCCTACATAAGGTTTTCTAAATCTCTGATCATATTTTTTTGTTCTTGTTTCTCTCCTCTGGACTCTCTCCAGTTTGTTCACATGGAAGGAAACGTTTCAAGCTGTTCACATCTCAGCATGTTTCATTTTGATTGAAAATTTTTCAATGAAACATTTTGAAATTTCTGAGTCAAACCTGCTTTTGGAATTTCCATTCTGCCAAAAATGTTGAAATCTCAACTTTTCTTAGAAAACAAAGATTGGAATGTTGCCATTTCCTGTTAGACGGGAATGCTGATTCTCCCTCAGCTCCAGTGCCAACCTGGCCCTGTGGACATGAACAGCAAAGCTCCCATCCACGTGTATGGGGCCAGGATTTCACCCAGGGTCCTATCTGTTGGATAGCCTCAGGGTTGAGTTCACCAGTAGATCCTCCAATGAAGGTGAAGAGTAGAGATGGTCAGAACATGTGGTAGGGAAGGGGGAGGGGGTTTCCCTTTTTCCATCAACACTTTTCCTGGAACATTTTGCTAAAAACTCAAGGCCTAAGTATGTGTAATCATGGGAGTTGTATTTCAGGTGCCTCATGCTCCTATGGGAACACAGGACTGGAAGGGCCCTATGGGGTCATAAAGTCCAATTTCTGCTATTACAGGCAGCCCTGTCATATCATCCCATCCATAGACTTATCAAGCTCTGTCTTTATCTTTGTTAGGTTGTTCCCCTCCCACCCCCCCAATGCTCCTGTTGGATGTTGTTCCAGAACCTCCTCCCTCTGATGGTTAGAAACCTTCCCCTCATCTCCAGCCTCCATTGATCCCTGCCACTTTTATCCCCATTTGATTAGTCCTATAGCTTCAACAGCTCGTCTCCCTCCCTGGTGTACCCCCCTCCTGATGTAT